CGCAGGTGTGGCCGACGGCTCCCTGCGCCCCGGCCGCCTCGTCTTTGCCCCCGGGTCTGCAGATCTCCCGACGTCGACCTGCCGACAGCTTGCAGGCTCGTCGTTGCTCGCTCTGCAGGAGTTGTAAACAACTCAGTGCATTTTCCCTTAGGAAGGAACTTCGAACCCAAGCGTGGTTTTCTTGACCGGTTATTTTTGGCAACTGATAGCAACCGTAATTTGCCGACAAGGTTGTACAGTCTCTGGAGGAAACCATTTTTGTAGGGAAACCTACAGCCGCTCGAAGTCGCTGCTGGTGGGAATCGTAGACGGTGTTGCGATTCGAATATTTGGAATTTGGATAGGAAAATTTCAGTCCACGTCTCTAGGAATCTACAAGTAATCGGGGCGTGAACATTGACCACATGGATGAATTTAGTCTGAAGCCTTCCTGTTTGTTTCACAACTCGATTGTTTAAACGGGAAACTGTTTATGTTTGTCAGAGGCCAAGCTTAATCTTATGTTACTCTTTTTCCAGATGGTATATTCTTCCTTCTGTGAGCTAAGAGTCAATCACCAACATTCAGGTTAAGGACAAGACTAATGTTTTATTTTAATGCCCTGTAGATCCCTTCCCCGCCTACTCCCCACCCCCAGTGCCAGTAACCTTTCTCCTATATCCTAACAATTCTGTGGCTTTTCCACGCTAGCTGACTTCTCTTTTCTGCCTCTGGGGCTTGTTTTTGCATCTGGTCAGGTATGGTTTTGTTTGGGTGGGGGCCTCCTTTGCTGTATAGCCTGATCCACTGGAGAGATTTAGTTTTAGCCAGTTTTATGGAAGGGTCTGAGAAATCAGCCAAAGACAGCCTATTTAACCAGTCATAGGAGTCGAGAGCAGCTTAATCTAGGAGTATAGGTGCTTTATAACTTAAAAAAAAAAAAAAAGAAGCCTTTGGAGAAATGACCAAACATCTCATTTCAAATGGTAATTCTCAATTTTAACAAGGTTATGCAATTTATATTGATTCTCTGCAAGCCAAAACCTTTCCCAGCTTGTTTCCTTGTGATTGTCTACATGAACTTGAAAGTGTATTGGTAATATTCCTTTGCTTTTTAAAATTGTTTGAAGAAGTTAAGCTTAACTATCAAAGTAAAATGTTTATTCTGTAAAGTTCTCTTTTGTTTAATTAGGTGTTTGGTGACCAATAAATCTGCCTGGTTGAACTGGTGGAATCGAATTAGTAAGTTTGTGTAATAGTCGGCCATTTCTAATTGTAGTGTTAAGATTTGTGTAATGCACTTCGTAAAGGATGAATGAGTTAAGACCTTTTAATAAGGCAGCTCAATGCAGAATCAGAGTTCAGGCCTGACGGCCAGGCTATCTGAGTTCTTTGTACTTAGTGCCTTACAACCAATACCCCAAACCAAACCAGGGACCCTAGACGTGATTCTGACTCACTCTTGAAGACCGTCCTCCCTGAGATGAGCATACTGATTGCTCACAGAGTTGTGAGGATAACTAATAAGGAACTGTAAAATTCCTTACTAGTAAAAGGCATGTTAATAATAATTATGAGCATACATTAAAAGGCCTAGTCAAGAAGTGCTAAGAAATCTGAGGAATTTTAAATTATGGAACATTCTCTGGAGTGTCTCTTAACACTTTGTGACTCCTAGCAGCCCTCTAGGACAGGGTAGCATGGCCCCTGTGGGTTTCTGAGACTAACTCTTTCTGGGAGTAGAAAGCCTCCTTTCTCCAAGTTGGTGTAGCCAGTGTCCATTAAAATTCTGTGTGATTTTAGGACCAAATATTTATCCCTCCACATTATTTAAACCAGAAAACACAACCTCTCGCCCTAGTATATGGGCATTAACACGGACTGTGAACACATACGCAGATGAACCTACTCGATAGTTGTCCTGCTACAAATTCTTTTGGCTGTTTTGCTCTGACATGTATATTTCCTTCTAGGTAGTTGTCTTGGGAACCCCTGCAGAAGAAGATGGTGGTGGCAAAATTGACTTAATTGAAGCAGGGGCTTTTGAAAATCTTGATGTCGTTCTGATGGCCCATCCATCCCAGGAGAATGCTGCTTATCTGCCTGATGTGGCTGAACACGAGTAAGTCGGCAAGTGAGTGATAGCTGCTTGGTGGTGATGAGACCACACAGTACACGCAGCTCCACATCTAGACATTGGACATGTAAAACTGAAGCACAGTGATTTGCCACGGGATGCCACTTGCCAAACCTTTTCATTGAGCTTTATGGCATTTTAAATTGTGTCTATTAAAATAGTACCTGACCAGCATAGGAATACCACACAATATGTTGATATTTATGTTCTGTTTTAGACTCTGAGAGTAGTTTGGTTTCTGGAGAGCAGCTGTCTCTTGGCATGGCAGCTGTGTTGGACTCAAGAAGGAAAAATATTGAATTTATTTCTTTGAGTTTGAGTTCTTTGCAAAGAAGGTAAAGCATTCCTAAGAGAGAAGACTGACCCCGGAAGTCGTGTGTTTTAGTGTGAACTTGGCAGTCTATTCTGTTCTGCCATGCCTGGTACTGAAAACATGTATTTCTCTTTCTCTTCCTCATTCTTTTCCCCTTTCTCTTTGGAACTTAGGAGTATACCTCTCTGAGGTGGTTTGAAATTTTTACACCAGAAAGTTCAACCATAGTAGTTACAGTCCAGTCAGAATGAGCCACTGTACTGCTGCTTCACAAAACTACATTGTCACCTCTGCCTAGCTAGTAGCTACCAGCGATAGCTAACAGTGGGAGCAGAGCCCGCTGTCCCGGCCAACAGCGTTCTGCATTGCAGTCAGTTATCTGGCATGCCTCGGCAGCTCACAGGGCCTGTCTTGAGAGGGTAATCATTTTAATTTCTCTGGTATCTTTGTTCTTATCATAGGACTTTGGTACTGTGACCACAGAAAGAGTCTTTCTACTTTGGTTTTTCAAACCCCAAACCAAACTCACTGCCATCAAGTCAATTCCAAGTCATAGTGACCCTATAGGACAGAGTAGAACTGCCCCCTGAGGGTGTCCAAGGTTATAATCCTTTATGGGAGCAGAAGGCCTCATCTTTGTCCCTTGGAGCAGCTGATAGGTTTGAACCACAGACCTTGTGGTTAGCAGCCCAATGTGTAACCCATCAGAACTCCCTAGAGCAGTGGTTCTCAATCTTCCTAATGCCGGGACCCTTTAATACACTTCCTCATGTTGTGGTGACCCCCAACCATAAAATTATTTTTGTTGCTACTTCATAACTATAATTTTGCTACTGTTATGAATCATAATGTAAATATTTGATATGCAGGATGTGTTTTCATTGTTACAAATTGAACATAATTAAAACATAGTAATTAATCACAAAACAATATGTAATTCTATATTGTGAAAATTTATGTGGTTTCCGATGGTCTTAGGCGACTTGTGAAAGGGTCATTCAATCCCCCAAAGGGTCGTGACCCACAGGTTGAGAACTGCTGCCCTAGAGGTAGGGTCAATTTGACTAATCCCAGAGGCCCTGGGTAGTACAAATAGTTTTAAAGTGTTTGGCTGTTAACCTACCTAAAGGTTGGCAGTTTGTGTCTACTCAGAAGCACATTGGAAAAAAGAATCTGAGAGTCTGTTTGAAAAATCAGTGATTGAAAATCCTATTGAAAAAAAAAATACAGTGATTGAAAATCCTGTGGGGTAGAGATTCTGTTCTGGGTCACCATGAAGTAGAATTGATTCAACGGGACTGTTTGGATTTACTGTAATCCGGCATTTACTACAGTGCTGCTTGTTGTGTGAACTGCAGTAACTTGTCTGCACATTGAAACATGAGAGCTATTGAGCAGAGCTCTTTCTCTGAGGCCACCTTCCTTGTGTCAAGTGCCATGCTACGTAATAAGGGTCAAATGGATGTAAATGGTGTGATTATTACTATAAATGGTGTGCAAACCTAAATTTCAGCCAGGTGAATTATTTTGAATTAATAAAATTAATAATTGGATAATTCTGACTATTTGGATTATTTTCCCCCAATTAACTACTGGGGGGGAGGGATCCATTTTAAAGGATGTTTTATTTCCTAGTATGACTGTGAAATACTATGGAAAAGCATCTCATGCTGCAGCATATCCCTGGGAAGGAGTCAATGCCTTAGACGCTGCTGTGCTCGCCTACAACAACCTGTCTGTGTTAAGACAGCAGATGAAACCAAGCTGGAGAGCTCATGGTACGAATGTCAATCATTGTAATAATAAATGCAAATTGGTATATTTTAATGTAATTTAATTACTCAATATTTCATTACAAAACCCAGGGCTCATTTTATGCAATTTTTTTGACTATTCTCACATTTTAAGACATGTTTTTATAAATTCCTGTCACAGGATACTAGGATGTTTAACCATATGAGGGTAGGAGGTACATAAATTTATGCATAGATTATTATATTACTGGACATAAATTATGCATAGATTATATACACATATGTGGAAGTTATACATAAATGGAATGGCCATCTTTACATATCCGAGATAACAACAGTTTTATGTAAGACTTGGAGGTTTCTTTCTGTATTTTAAGGTTGATTTTCCAATTATCCTCACCATCTCTGCCTGGAAATTATCCCAGAGCTAAATGACATTTAAAATATTCTTGGGATTCTTGAAGTATAAAGTAATTAGAGGATCACCTGTTTATTTTAAGTTTTCTTTTATTTTAATATCAAAAGTTTGTTAAAATGTACAATTATATTAAAGGTTATTGAAATGTCTTTTCCAGAATGCTTAAGATTTACTCTCTCTCTTCTTTTTTTTTTTTGGTAGTTGGTTATGTAAAATTCTTTACAATACAGAATCATAATGTCTTAATATTGGAAATTCCTTAGAATGGAATATCTAGAGACAATTATCCTTTTTTTCTTATTAGCAGAAAGCACCCCTATATGTGGAAACTTACATTGTGTAGCACATTAAAATCTTTGCTCGATATGTTTCTGTGAAGCTGATCCATAAAATTATTTTTCTTCATGTCTGTATTGGCTCTGAAACTTGGTGGGTATATTTAAACTTAAAGAGATGATCTTTGAATTTAATTCCAATAATTTGGTTCTTTTTGTAGGTATCATAAAAAATGGTGGCATAAAGCCCAATATCATTCCCTCTTACTCTGAATTAATCTATTACTTCCGTGCACCGTCAATGAAAGAACTTCAAGTTTTGACCAAAAAGGCAGAATATTGCTTCAGAGCTGCAGCTTTGGCTACTGGGTGCACAGTAAGAACCTTTTTAAGAGTTAATCCAAGTTATAATCAAAAGTATGTAAGTGGGCTGGGATTGTTTATCTTACATTAGATTAAACCCTAACTTGCTGCTTTTTATTTGGCCATGTCTTGAGTATGCAAAATCAGCTGGCTGAGTAGTTTATTATTGTTTTACGTGCGCGCGCACACACAGGCCCTGGTGGTGTGGTGGGTTATTTTGTTGGGTTGATATTAAGTCTTTGAACCCCTAGCAGCTGTGCAGGATAGAGGTGAGGCTTTCTATTTGCATAAAGATTTAGAACCTCAGGAACCCACTCACTGGGGCAGCTCAACTCCGCTGTATCGGGTTGCCAGGAGTCAAAAACCTACTTGACCCGCCGCAGGCTTTCCCAGAGTGTTCCTCTTTACAGACGCAGATAACCTAGTCACTCCCACAGGGCGGTGGTGGGTTTGAACCCCTAACCTCGCAGTGAGCAATCTAATGCCGCACCACAGCCTCATCAGTGTTCATTAATAAGAGGGAATAAAATAAAATGAGGCTTACTATAAGAATTTACTCGAGTCAATTTACTCAATGGCAGTGGATTTGATTTGCTATTATTACTAAATAGGATAACCTCTTTTATCTCTTTGCTAAAGTGATACTGTGTCATGTTTTAATAATGACTATGAAAATATTTATTGTTAAAAAACAGTTTATCTAATAAAGATAGTATAACATAAAAAAACCTACTCGATGTCAATAAGTTGATACACACAGTAGCTATATACACATTATAATATATTTTACTCAGTGCCTGCTGTAGGGAAGACTACCTTGGTATTCTTATGTATACAGTATTAGAATCATTCTGATATTCTTGTGCTACACTGTTTATTTGCAAATTATACCTCTCTTTATTAGAAGTTAGGCTTTTAGAATTGTTCTGTAGAGTTCCTCCACCCATTGCCATCAAGTCAGTTCCAACTCATAGCGACCCCGTACAGGGTTTCAGAGCCTCTAAATCTTCATGGGAGTAGATAGCCTCAACTTTCTGCCATGGATCCGCTGGTGGGCTTGAACCGCTGACCTTGCAGTTAGTCACCTAATGCTTACCCAACAACTCCACCAGTGTTCCTTGAGTTCCTATAAAGGAAACCTTATGGTATAATTAGGCAAACTTATTCTAAAGTTACATATATGTATAATAGTGATACAAATACTTTGGCCTTCCTGAAATAGAAGTCAAACACACTATAGAAGCTTCCCAAGAGGGATTGTTCATTTGAACCATAAAATCAGTAACGTATTTAAGTACCGATCATGCATGAAATACAGTGGGCTAGGGAGCTTCGGGGCTATGCAACACTTGATTCTTGCCCAGACGAACCTGTGGGGTAGTTGGAAAGATAAGATCTCATCTGTGTCTCCCAGCTTCACTGCTTATGTCAACTTTGCAAACACTTCCTATCTATGTGTTTCCCTATTTTCACTTGAAAAATGAGGATAGTAATATAATTTTTCTGTTGACTCTTGGGAGGATTAAATGGGATGTTTGTGAAGATTTCAGGGCCTACCCATAGTAAACCTTTCTAAGTATCACTTTATTTTCCTCTACTCTTATTAAACTGGAACTTCAGCACTCGATGAGATCCGCACCAGCATCCCAGAGTAGCAGTGGTTCTCCGTGAGCACGTGTCAGGTGTCCACAACGTGGTGTGAATCTTAAAGGCTGTACGGGATCAGGAGAGGGAAAGTGGTGCCTGGAGTCCTGTGGGTCTGAATGGAGTTTGGAGATAATGCCTTCCGGTTAGAGAGTGAGGAGACCTCTCAGGAAGTGAACTGAGCAAACGGGATCTTGCTTAAGTTCAGTGCCCTCAAGTCGGCCCTGACTCATGAATGAAACAGTGCCGGGTCCTGCGCCATGCTCGCAACGGTGGTTAGGTTGGAGCCCAGTGTTGCAGCCAGTGTCAGCCCAGCTCCTGGAGGGCTTCCTCGTTCTCGCTGCCCTTCCACTGGATCCAGGAAAGATAGGATGGTCCAGGTGCCTGACGGGCTACAGCAAGCAGGTGGTGCAGTGGTACCTGTGAACGCTGGCACCTGGTTCCGACAGAACGCTGGCAGCTGGGAACCTCTATTTCCCACGAACATGAGCACTAGAAAGGAGTTAAATGGTGCCCTGTACACAGTGGAAAACCTGCAAGACCAGGGGTGGGGTGGAGGGAATCAACCCCAGCAACTAGCAGCTCTCATGGGTTTCACTGTATGATAAATGTAAGAGTCAGGCTACATTCCCAAAGGTAGCAGGTATCGATTCT